GTTTCAACTACTCTCTAGTCTTTTAGGATAGCTCTAAAAAAAACTCAAGGTTATATCTCAGGTTCTAAGGACAAAAGAAGAAAGAGGTAGACCTCATCCAAAAAATGAGTTCAACAAACATTCCTTCATATCAGCCTTCCCGTGCTACTTGTAACATTACCAAAAGTCACAAACAACCATTTGTATCTATTATAGGATGTATGTATAAATATCTAGAACTTCTTGAATATAAAGTATGGGGTTCCTCCTCAATCATCTGTAATCTAGGATAAAAAGGCTGTGTTTTATTTATTGATGTTTTTTCCAATTGAGTTGGGTTTTTTCTATGATTGTCAAATTTGAAACAATCCATAAAAATCAAATTTTAATACATGTTATCAATATTCAATTCAATACTAAAATCAATATGCTGAGATCAGATGGTGGCAGAGAATATGATAATACAATCTTAAACATCTTTCACATTGAGAATGACAATTTTCATTCGTATTCATGTCTCTGAACACTCAAATAAAATGATGTTATAGAATAAAAGAATTTTGATCTCATAGAGACAACTCATACTTTGTTACATGAGGCTAACTCACCATATACTCTATAGGTTGATGCCCTTCTAAATGACATCAACCTGATTAATCAAATGCCCATAAAAATACTAACCATAACTCTCCCTTCTAGCATCTTCATGGTACACTACTTTCCAATAATCATTTAAGAGTATTTTGGATGTCCTTGTTACCCATGGCATCAACCACAATCTTATCATAGATTCACACATGATTCTGTTCAGTGCATCTTCATTGGCTACTCACTCATCCATGAAGGCTACAAATGTTATACCCTTCCACAGATAGGAACATTATTTCAAGACGTGTGGCGTTTGATGAACAGACATTTCCATATGTCTCCAAAAACTAACAACATCATCGAAACCACAACCAGTAGATTCACACATGTCGTGAATTCTTCTCACATATTTGTCTCCTTCTAAGAGCAACACAAAAAATCATGAAGATTCTTTTTACTTCCTCCTTAACTTTACCACCCCAACAATAACATGTATCATATCTGAAAATCCACCTTCACCAAACCCCCTAGCTCCACAACTTCATCCCACGATAACCTGCCCAAAAAATTGGTAACTTTAAGCCCATTGAAAAATCAATTATTTCATACCAAATTCAAACCATACCTTATATGTCTTTTAACATGTTGAATTTTCTTTATCTTTTATAATTATTTTGGATGAAGCTACACTTTAAAGATAGTTATTATTGTGTTTTTCTTGTAGGTACAACATGTAGGACATAAGGAGCGAATCAGAGTTGAAACAGAGCAAAGTGGAGGCAAAATGGAGCTAAAGGCTGTCCAACTGACTGACGCCTAGACGCCAGCTTTTGAGCGTCACGACCCTGCCCACCGACCCCTTGAAGTTAGCTTTTAAGCGCCTAGGCGCCAGAACTGCCCATACAACCCGAGTAGGTGGTGTCTAGGCCCCACAGACTGGGCGTCAAGACTTTGGTACCTGTCAGAGTAGTTTTAACATGATGAGGGGAGTTATTTGAAAGATTTTGATGCTTAGAGAAGAGACTTTTTGGCATTTCTAAGTCTTGGAATTCTCCAGGAATGTCAAATGGTCGTAGATAGGAGTAGGGATTGTAGCTTTTTACCTTTTCTTGAGAGATTGAAGAGGGGATTTGAGTGCATTTTGTATGGGATTTGTATCAACATTGCAAGGAATAGTAGAAGGCTTTGTTGGAGGGATATGCATCTCTTTTTCAGAGGAAAAAGACTAAGTATTGTGTTCTTTATTGACTTGTCTCTATTTTAAACACATATTTGATGGATTTGCTTTGATTTAATGAAATTTTCTATTGTGTTAAACATGCTTTGTGAGTAGAATTCCTTTAACCTTCTCTTGTGATGAATAATTTGAATGTGTAGGATGTTATGATGCTTATAGAAGTGATCTTTAAACCTTAATGTGATGATCTCTCATTTGGTGCTTCTCTTACTTACCATCCTGACCAAATGATTTTGTTAAAATTTGTTGTGAACCCATAAAGACTCGGGAGAGCTATAGCTTGAACAACACGGAAGATCACATTTAACTAGTGGGTGAAGGAAAAATAATCAATAAGAGAATGCAAATAGATAGGGAGATTTGTTCTAATGGGTATAACTTCGGGGTTTCTAGGATGATAGATAGAAACACTTACAAAGTTAAACCAAACTTTTTTGCACACTTGGAGGAGGGTAAACAAGATATATACTCCTATTTGTCACTAGCCACTTTCGCAAATCACAGTATGTGATCCTACAATCAACTTATGCAATCACAAGAGAAATTTAGTTTTTTATATCTTGATATTCACCAAACCAAATGATCTAGTTAGATTTAGTTTAGACTTAGTGTTGTAATTTAGGAGCAGTTGTTAATAAAATCACCTTAATTGACACTTCAAACTAAGACCTTAGCATAATAGACTAGAACTTCTCTTATTGGACTTGTTACTTCGTTCTTTGTGGGATCGACAATCCGGACTCAATATAGTTCTATGTTATTATATTACTAAAATGATACATTTACTTGTGTGAGAAACCATAGTGAGTATTAATACCTAATTTTAAGAACTCAATCAATTCGCTAGGGAGCATACAATTTTTTGGTTTCATTACCAGGATTTATATAAATTATGATAACTGTTAGGGTAGATCACTACCTGACCCAACAAGTTATACTCAAGCAACTAAACAGTCTCATTGGAGACAAGTAATGATTGTCAAATTCTATGTTCTCTAATAATAAGAAGCTTAGGCACTAGTTTTCTCTCCTAAACAACCTTTTTTTAGGATCAAAAGCTTATCCAACACCAAACTCTATTCAGATGACACGATTACTAGGTATAAGGAGAGACTTGTGGCTCAAGGTTATAAGAAAAAATTTGGTATCAACTACAATGAAATATTGTCTTTTTGTTAATATACCTTCCATAATTATCCTACTTACCATTCTCTTCACCTCAATTGAAAAATTCTCCAATTTGATGTATTCAATGCTTTGTTACATGGAACTCTCAATGACACCATCTACATGCATCAACCACTAGGTTTTTATGATCCTTAATTTTCAAAACATGTTTATCTTCTTAAAATGGTTATGAATGGCCTCAAATAAGCCCCTCGCCAATGGTTTACTACCCTCGATATTCACATTCTTTATTAAAAATGACATCACTATTAGCAAAGTAGACCCCCCTTTGCTTTACAACTAGAAAAATGCCATAATATTTGTCATCATCTATGTTGTTGAAGTGTTAATTAGTGGTAAGAACCTTATTGCTATATCCACGCTGACATAGACTCACAATTTCAGCTAAAACACCTAAGACCCATATCATGCTTTCTAGTCATTGATGTTCATAAAATATATCCTTCATAAGCCAACAAAGTTAAGTGCTAAGCTTCTCCACACTTCATGGATGTAGGAATGTATTGTTGTGAATACACAACTATTGTTTATAGAATCATCTCCAATAGAGTCGGCCAATCCCTTTCACAACCTAACCCTTTAATGACAACTAATAGGGTCCCTCCAATTCCTCGCAATTACGAGACCAAACATATAATTTACAATAAATCAACGTTGTCAGCACATGCATACTCCAACAATCTGTCACTTCCATCTTCTTGCTCGACTCCTCAAATATATCCAAGGGACCGATCACTTTGGTTTACTCATTCAACCAGGAGATCTGCTTTTCATAACATATATTGATGTTGATTGGGCTAGTGATAAGAATACAAGGAAGTTCACCATGGGGATTTGCTCTTTTCTTGGACAAACGCTCATCTCTTGGACAATCAAGAGATAACATAGTTGATAAAGCCTCCACAAAGGTAGAATACAACGCACTTGCTGGAACAGCTACAAATATCCTCCAATTTCATCATCTTCTACATCAATTCAAGGTCAATATCAAATCCAACACCACTATACCGTGACAACATATCTGCGATATCTCTAGCTATTAATATGATTTTTACACCAAAACAAAACACATTGACATTCATTATCTCTTGATAAAGGATCACATCAATTTTAAAAAAAAATATACAAATTCATTGTATTAACTCTCAAGATCAGCC